ACCGCTGTGCCCGATGGGGCGAGTGCCCACGCGGGCTCCCTGGCCTGAGCTGGCCGGGGTGCCGTGTGGGACTCCAGGCTCGGAGGAGGCGGAGGAGGAGGCGGAGGAGGAGGCGGAGGAGGAGGAGGAGGAGGAGGAGGGGGAGGAGGAGGAGGAGGAGGAGGAGGAGGTGGAGGAGGAGGAGGAGGAGGAGGCGGAGGAGGAGGGGGAGGAGGAGGAGGCGGAGGAGGAGGCGGGGGAGGAGGACTTGCCGCGTCCTCACTCCGCCCTCCCATCCCGAGCTTCCTGGGCGGCCAAGCGCCTCTCGGGGTGCCCCGTCGCTCCAGGCCTGCCGGGGGCAGCCCAGGCCTGCCGCCACGGCCGCCGGGAGGGCCCAGCAGGGCCTCCAAGGGGGGGGCACTCGGCAGCTCCCCAAGACGACCCCCGAAAGGAGCCCCCAAGAAGCCTCCAAAGGTTGACCCACACAAGACCCCTAACCCTTTGGGAGGGGACCCGAGTGGCTAGACCCTCTTCTAGGGTTAAGGTATATTCCCGCTCAATGGTAATATGTCTAAGGGAAAAAGCGCTTTCTACCTTAAAACGAGAAATAATACCTTAAACTGCAAGAACAGTAGGGTTCAGGTTAAATGATGAGAGCACTACATAACATTGAACGCTGCGTTTGGCACCCGATGAAACGCTACATAACATCTGGCCCTCCTGACTCGGGTCACCCGAGTCAGGAGGGCCAGAAACATGAGGGACAGGTTTTTGTTTTAGCTGCAGATGCATCAGACCAGACCGCCGAGAAATATTACCCCGAATGCGAAGAGGGGAACCTCAGTGAGGCCACGTCTTCATCGTGCGATTAGGGTTGGGTGCTCTCTTGTGCTCGATGATCCAAGATATCAAAGAGCAGGCAAGGAGGCCAGAATCCCACATCGCTGAAACGCAGTCGGGGGGCCAGTAGTCGTGGCTTGTCTTTCGTTTCATGAGGACCTCGGCGTAAAATGGTTCCAAGATGGCCTCGGATGGGCCAACAAGGGGAGGCCCTCAAGAACCTTAAGGGAGCCCCAAGATGGCCCCGCGAGGTCCCCAAGACAGCCCCACGAGACTCCCCCCCGGACGGCCGAGAGGGGCCCGAGCCGGCCCGCAAGAGATCACCAGGACGGCTCCACAGGAGCCCAAGGCAGCCAAGAATATCCCCATGATAGCCTCTCATCGGCGGCGAGCGAGGGGGGGAAATGAAAAGCAGAAGGCCTTCTCAGAAGGCGGCGGGACTTCTCAGAATTCCTAGGGCCTTACGAGGGGTTCTTCGTGTCTTCGGGGAAGGCTTCGAACACTTCTCAGAAGGCCGGTGGACTTCCGAGCCCTCTGAGAAGGCCCCCCCCTCCCCACTTCTCCTGCTCGCTCGCCGCCGAAGGACGGCTCCACAGGAGCTCAAGCCAGCACAGAAAATCCCAATGAGAGCCTCTCAGTAACATTCAAAACGACATGTGTCATATGTGATTGCCTTTGGTGCTCGCAGCGCCGCCACACAAAGGATGCGCTGGCAAGGTGGCAGAGCTCGCTGCAAAAAGCTGGACATTCGTGCCATATCCAAAAACAATTGAGGTCAGTCCACATGAAACATTACATAAGAAACCCAACCCTGAGACCCCAGGCCGTCCATTGATTTTTGGTGTGGGAACGTCGCGCTTCCCAAAGCAAAACCATCGAAACCCAAGAAACCCAGGGCACCATGGAGGCAAGCAGGGTGTTTCTTGGCATGGGTCTCCACTGTATGCGTACGCATTTTAACACATCTACCTGTATGAGTTCATACGAACATGCGCGCGAATTTGTGTCCGTATCTGCATGCGCATCTTTCTAGATTCACGCGCACCCTGGCCCCCGCAGTTGCGGACAAAAGTGATAGGGGGCGGGGAGGTCGTCGGCAGCCTGCGAGGCTCGAAAGCAAACATGAAGAAGCCCGCCGCAGGCGCGGATTCTCTGACGCAGAGCACAACGAGCCCGCAGCAGGCTCCGATCTGTTGTCGAAGCAGTGTGAGTGCGCCGCGGGTGGGTCGCGGGCGCTAGCGACAAAAAGCAGATCAACAACGGCAACCCGCACCGCGGAACCTCACTTGGAGCCACGCACTCAGGAATGGTGTAGTATGTATTATCGTAGCCCCCCCCCTCGCTTTGTCGCTCTGAGGCATCGGAGGAGGCAGCAAGGAGGAGGAGGAGGCAGGGAGGAGGAGGAGGAGGAGGAGGAGGAGGAGGAGGAGGAGGAGGAGGAGGAGGAGGAGGAGGAGAGGAGGAGGAGGGGAGGAGGAGGAGGAGGAGGAGGAGGAGGAGGAGGAGGAGGAGGAGGAGGAGGAGGAGGAGGAGGAGGGAGCGAGGACGAGGAGAAGGAGGAGGACAACACCACCGTCCCCGCAGGCGTGGATAGCAGAGAGGGGCCACCGATTCTTCTTCGTCTCTCGGTGTTCGCCCGTGGCCGTCCGCCGGCGCCCCGGTTCGCTGGCTGGCGGTCTCTGGCCGTTTTGCTGTTCCTGCAGAGGCCTCCCGTGGCCGCCCGAGGGCGCCTCGAGGGCGCTTCGTGCGCCGCCTGGGCCCAACTTGCACAGCACAGCCTGCACCACGCAGCTTGCGTCACGCAGCTCGCAGTGCACCACACGGGTTGCTCCACATGGCTTGCACCAAGTCGCCTGCACCACACAACTTGCACCATACAGCTTCTGCCAGATGGCTTCCGTTCCGTTGCATCGTAGGGCGCGCAACTATGGCACCTACCAGTCGCAGGCCATTGTATTCTTGGCGGGCGAACGCGCAACCTATGATGGAATCAGTAGCAGGCCGCTCGATTCTCGGCGGCCGAGCGCGGGACCTATGGCGCAATGAATTTCAAATCCTTCGGCGGCCGGGTGCGCAACCTATGGCGCAACCAGTGGCAGGCCGTCAAATTCTCGACGGCCGAGCGCGCAATTTCTGGTGGAATCAGTCGCAGGTCGTTCTGTACTCAGCGGCCACGCGCGGAATCTATGGGACAACCAATGGCAGGTTGTTAAATTCTCGGCGCCCGGGTGCGCAACTTATGGCACAGCCTGGCACAGCCAGTCGCAAGCCGTTCTGTTTTCGGTGGCAACGCACGGAACTTATGGCGCAACCGGTGACATGCCGCGGCCACAGGCTGACAGCGTGGCGCATCCAATCGCAGGCAATTTCGCTGTCGGTGGCTGGGCGCGCAACCTCAAGCGCAACCACTGGCAAGCCTTCTTGTTCTCGGCGGCCAGGCGAGCAACCCATGCTTCAAATCACGTCAGGCGATTTTGGTCTCGGTGGCCACGCGCGCAACCTTATTTGCGGAATGAATGCCAAGGCATGCTTCATATCGGCGGCAGAACGCGCAGCCTATGGCGTAGCCACCGGCAAGCTGTTATATATTTCTTGCGGCGGAGTCAATTGCAGGCCGTTTTCTTCTCGGCGGGCGAGCGCACAACTTTACGGCAGAATCATTGGCAGGCCGCTTCGTTCTCGGCGGCCAGTCGCACAGCCTCTTGACATAATCAATCGCAGGCCGTTTTCTGCTCGGCGGCAGAGCGCGCAAATTCATGGCGGAATCCATGGCATGTCGCTCTGTTCTCGGCGGCCGAGCGCGCAACCTCCTGCTGGAATCACTCGCAGGTCGCTTTGCTCTCGGCGGCTGAGCGCACAACTGACGTGTGGCGGGCCGTCTGGTTCTCGGCAAAGGGGCGGGGGGAGAGGGCGGGAACGGGCAGCACGAAGGCACCGAGAGCGGGGGGACCCCCTCGCGACAGCGGCGCCGACCACGGCGACCACCGCGAGACCGAAGCCGACGACGACCGGCCCGACGGGGCCCAGAAATTGGGTGCAGCTGACACGCTCCACGGGGCTACGCACGATGTTCGGCGGCGAGCGCTGGGGGGGCAGAAGGCGGCGGAACTTCTCAGAAACCCTCGCGCCTTCTGAGAAGCTATCTGTGTCTTCGGGGAAGGCTTTGGGAACTTCTCGGAAGGCCGCGGCACTTCCGAGCCTTCTGGGAAGGCCCGCCCCTTCTGACTTCTCCCCCAGGCTTGCCGCCGAGAGGTATGCTCGCCCTTGGGGCTAGCGGTGGGTCTGGAGGCCTACGGGCGACAGAGACCCATGTAAAAACCCAGCTGGAATGTTCTGTGGGAGCCGGGGCCCACGGGCGAGGGACACCCACATCAAAGCGCATGGCTGCGACCATCATGGCAACCACAAGTGCTCCGCGTGGCAGTCTGGCCACGCGAGCCAGCATGGAGCGACGACGGGCGGGGACCGCCCCACCCTCACTGGACACGTGCCCGCACGCGCAACTTCGCCTCGCTCGCGCGCACGTCACGCGCGGCGCGATGGGAAACCGATTTCCCGGTGGGGAGACTCCGCTTCACTCGGTCTCCCCCCCCCCCCAACCTCCAACCGTCATCGCTATCTGACCTCCACCCCCACTGTCTCCAGGGCAATCGCTTACTCTGGATACCTGCGTCGTGCGTCTTATATTTTCCACCACCTGTACGTACACGTCTGTCCATGCCTCCTGCTCAGGCAGCTCATGCTGACGCCTTACTCCGACTGATGCTAGAGGTGATCCGAACTTCTGCCACTTCAGCGGCTGCCAGAAGGCATGCCACTTGTGCTCCCCTAGTCGCTGCTGGTGGTGCCACTGCGACTTCTGCAAGTCATCGCTGCGCCTGCTATTGGTACACCTACTGCCATAGGCTTCGCTACTGCAGATGATACTGCGTCTGCTGATGCTGGAGCTGCAGCTGCTGCCACTTCGCCATCGGCACCTACTGGAATTAGTGGTAATGCGCTGGTTCTTTCACCACCGATGCTACAGCCGCTCACAGGATCTGTAACAGGTCACCCTGCTCCCACGCCTCCTATCTCCGCCTTTTCCTCTCTTTTCCTCTTCCCGCTTCTCGCTGCCCCGACCCCTTCGCCTGCCAGCCTGCCTTCTAGAGAGAAAGAGAGAGAGAGAGAGAGAGACAGGCACAAAGAGCGATAGAGAGAGAGAGAGATATAGATAAAGCGGAAGCCGGCCGCCTCTTTATGGATGTCTCCACCGCCTCCATGAGATCTCCTGCCAGCCTGCGAGATTCAACCTCGCGATTGCCATCCACCACAGGTGTTGCCTTCTGCATGTGCTGACTGTAGTTCGTCACAGGTGCAGCTTTCTGCGTGGCCACATCGACCTCTGGCACAGACATCGTCTTCTGGGTATCCTGATTCGCCTCCGTCACAAACGTCGCCTTTGACGCGTTCTGGCAGACCTCTGCCACAGGAGAAGACTTCTGCAGGTCCTGCTTTACCTCCGTTGCGGGTGCAGCCTTCTGCGTGTCCTCACTGTGCAAGGTATGGGCACGAGCTCGGTCCATTTTTGACCTCCCCGCAAACGGAAACCATGAAACAAGAAAATACGGAACTGAGACAGTGGGAGAGAAAGATGGGTGAAGCGAGAGGCATGATAGCGGAACCGACATGTGAACAAAAAAAAAAAAGAGAGTGAGAGAGAGAGGGAGAGGGAGAGGGAGACACACGCACACACGCACCCACGCTCGCACGCTCGCACGCACGCACACACGCACACGCGCACATACAAACACAAACACCAACACCAACACCAACACAAACAACCACACATGCACACTAGAACTACGCGCGCGCGTCGCGCGCTCAGGTTCTAGCCAGCCCAAGCTCCTGACAAGCTCACGGCTCCGGTGAAACAATTACCCACACGCGAACAAAACGGATCGAATGACGACGAAATGCAGGCATCGACGTTTCCGCACAATTCCATACTCCATGCAACACTATGCAACGCAATGAAGGTAACGTCGTGAATGAAACAATAACGCAAAGCAACGCATTTCCACCACGGAAACCAGATGCATGGCCGAAACAACGCACAGCATTGCAAGCAGAGGTAAGGACAGCATATGCTAGGCAATGCCCTGTAACACAGGTCGAGTCAATGAACAGCAATGTGGACCAAGGGACGATGAAACACCAAGTATTACAAATGTAATGCACATGCGACGCAAGCAACGGAGCACAAGCATGCAACGTCATGCAATTCAAAACAACACAACGGGAGCTCTGGAAACTCAGAGATCTCAGGACCAACGCGCCCTCGGAGGATCCAAACAGCGTACCACGGGGGACCTGGGATAGGCACAGAAAGCACCCCAAGGAAATCTCAAGGTCGCCGTTCGCGAGGTCGGGCTCAAGAGAGGGCCCAAGCCAACTCAACGAGGCCCCGAAACGCAGAATTGGCGTACCCTGAGAGTCGTCGCAACAGCTTCCGAAGACGGCTCCAGAGCGCCTCAAGAAAGCCTCCAGAGAGCCCCGCATGCACCGAAGAGACTCCGAACGGGCCCCGAATGAAGGCCCCAGGGGGCCACGGAACGCCCTGAGAAATCATCAGAAGAAGGCCGTGAACTCAAAGGGAGGGCCAAAGGGGTCCCAAGAGCGGCTCCATAAGAGTTCCCAAGGCCACATAGAACGCAAAAGGGGGCCCACGAGAAGCGCCAAGATGACCCAAGGAGGTTCCAAGGGGGGGCGATGGAAGGCTCCCAGAGGGCCTCGCGAGGGCCCGAGGGAGTTTCAAGAGGACTCAGAAGAGCTGCGAATAGCGTCGAAAGAGGGCTCCCCGAGGTGCTTGGGGAAGGCCGCAGGAGGCGGTGGGAGGAGGCCCGAAGAACTCCCAGGCGCGGCCTCAACAAAGCCTCAAGAGGCTCGAATAGGTCAGGTTCAGGAGTGTCAGACAGGAAGAAAAACTTGCCACCCCCAGTCGGGCTGGAGCTCTTTGTCCAAGTGGAGGTCTCTGGACTGCCGCAGTGTACTGTCTTGGGGCATCTCGGGGGTCTGCTGTGAGCGTCTATAACGCCTCGGGGACGGTGTCGCCCAGAACGCCTCTGGGGCGGTGTTTGGAGAACGTTGAATCCGTATTCCTCACGGAACCCACATAACCGTTGCTGGCCTCGTATCGGGCCCTTATTCTGTCGCCGCCGTCGCCGTCGTCGTTGTCGTCGTCCTGTTCCATTCCTGATGGTAAATTACTCCTCCCTGTCGCACCCCGAGGCTGGTCGAAAGGGCGGGCCGGGCGTTTCGTCTGCGGCCTCCTCGCTATTTATGATCCTGGAGCTCAGAATTTGCGACAATTTCACACATGGAGGGCGGGCCGGTTTCTAAATGTTGCTCTCGCCTTAACGATGAGCACATTCGTCCTAAACATTGCAAGGGCTTCACGGATGGAGGGCGGATGGTTTTCAAAATGTTGCTCTATCCTTAGCGCCGAGCACATCTGTTCAAACAACTTGGAAGAACTTCACGGATGGAGGGCGGGGCGTTTTCAAAATGTGGCTATCGCCTTAACGCCGCGCGCACTCGTCTTAACACATTGTGATAGTTTCACGCATGGAGGGCGGGTGGTTTAATGTGGCTGTCGCCTTAGCGTCGCGAATTATCGTTTTTTTAAGCAAGACTTTCGTTGGTGGAGGGCGGTCCTTTCTGAAAATGTGACTCTCGCCTCGGCGCCGCTTTTTTTCCCCAACCAGTGCTTGCAGTGAAGGGGTCCTAGCGGAGATTGAAAAATTTGGCGGAAATGCCGGGCCGATTTCGGTGGGCGGCCGGGTTCCCAAGTTCTGGGTTCCTGGTTCTCGGGTTCCAGGGTTCCCGGTTGCTGGATCCCGGCCGATTTCGGTGGGCGGCGGGCTTCCTGGGTTTCCGGGATCCCGGGGTCCTGGTTGATCTCCTCATCGATCGGTCTCATCATCGATCTCATTACCCACCTCTCTATTGATCCCACAATCGAGCTCACAATCGATCTCTCTATCGGTATCACAATCGATCTCACTATAGATCGCACGTCGAGCAATCTCACGATCGATCTCACAGGATCGACTTCACTATCGGTCTCACGATCGACCTTACTATCGTCCTCACGATTGATCCCACTATCGATCTCACTATCGATCTCACAGTCTATCTCAACGTCCATATCACCAGCTTTCAAAGCATCAACTGTTTTTTTCTGGTGTATACATACTCTTCACAGCAGTTTCAAGTCCTATCATGGATAACGTCTCCAAACAGCTGTATTGGCACGAAATCAGACTGTCAGGGCGCAGCAGTCATGTCAACTCACTGTGCTGGAGATCGTCAAGGCGCAACAATTGCGGTGATTCGCGGCGTTGCAATCCCAGGAGTGCTGTTCTGGCGCAGTTAAGGCTTTTCAAACTGGTGTCTACCAAAGGGGTAGTTCCCTCAGTGGAAATGAATCCTTGCAGGGGCCTGTGAAGAGGGAACTTGGAGGGAGGGTTTATTGCAATATCGTCGCTGCGTCTTGTGTCAACACTGGTCCTCCTCCTCCTCCTCCTCTTTCTCCACTCCCCCTCCTCATGCTCCTTCTCGTCGTCCTCTCCTCCTCCGCCTCCTCGTCGTCGTCGCCCAGAGCGCCCTCGACAAGTCCTGGCCCATGGGAAGCTCAGGGTTGAAAATTCCGAGCTGTCTCTCGGAGTCTTGTGGAGCCACTTGAGGGCTCTTGGCTTTTTGAAAGCCTCTTGGGCGTCTCTTGTCATCATGTGTTGGGGCCCTGTGGCGCCTTCTCTCTGCTTTTTCCTAATCATCCTGTGGTGTTGGGCCCTTTTTTTGAAGAGATGGTCCCCGCGTTCCCTTATTCTTTCCTTCTTTCCTTGCTTCCTCCTCCCCCTCCTCCCTCCGATCATCATCATAATCATCATCATCAGCAGCATCAGCAGCATCAGCAGCATCATCATCATCATCATCATCAGCATCATCATCATTATCAGCATCATCATTATCAACATCATCATCAACATCATCGTCGTCGTCATTTGCACATATTCATCTTCACCTCCGTCATCATCATCATCATCATCATCATCATCATCATCATCATCATCATCATCATCATCATCATCATCATCGTCATCGGCATCGGCATCGTCATCATCATCATCATCATCATCATCATCATCATCATCATCATCATCATCATCATCATCATCATCATCATCATCATCATCATCATCATCATCATCATCATCATCATCATCATCATCATCATCATCATCATCATCATCATCATCATCATCATCATCAGCGTCATCATCATCATCATCATTCAGAGCATCATCACCATCATCACCCATAGCATCAACATCATCCTAGGCATATAGCATCGCCTTCATCATCACCATCACACCTCACACGGTTCGTGTGGCCCCGTAGGAAGCTCCGCCGAAGGCCCCAATGCCCGCGACCGCATGCGCCCTCCCCACCCACCGCCTGCCCATTTCGGCACACCCCTCACACGGTTCGTGGCCCCATAGGGAGCTCCACCGAAGGCTCCAATAGCCACGTCCGCATGCGCCCTCCCCGCCCACCGCATGTCAATTCTGGCACACCCCTCACACGGTTCGTGGCCCCATAATTAGGGAGCTCCACCGAAGGCCCCACTCGGAGGGGTCGCATGGCACTACCGCGCACATTTCGGCACACCCCTCACACGGTTCGTGGCCCCAGAGGAAGCTCCACCGAAGGCTCCAGCGGCAGGCTGCGCATGAAACCACCGCGCCCCATCCGGCACATCCCTCACACGGTTGGTGGCCCCAGAGGAAGCTCCACCGAAGGCTCCAGCGGGAGGCTGCGCATGAAACCACCGCGCCCCATCCGGCACATCCCTCACACGGTTCGTGGCCCCATAGGGAGCTCCACCGAAGGCTCCAGTGGGAAGCTTCGCATGACACCACCGCGCCCAATCCGGCACATCCCTCACACGGTTGGTGGCCCCGTAGGGAGTTCCGCCGAAGGCTCCAGCGGGAGGCTGCGCATGGCACCACCGCGCCCAATCCGGCACGCCCCGCACACGTCGTGGCCCCCAAGAGGAGCTCCGCCGAAAAAGCGGTACCCACAATGCGGCACCCGCAGCTGCATAGTGGGTGTGTCTTTCGCCAAGCGAAGTGAACATCATCATGCCCCCCCGCAGAATTCGCCTCGTATATGCGTGAGTACATCATTTCGCGCGCACGTGCGCACAACACGCTGCCTGGCAACATGAGCACGTGTGAGCGATTCCGAAAACCCTGAAGCCAAAAATAATTGCATCCAAAACGCCGCCAAGGAGCCCCAAGAGACTCCCAAGCGGCGGCATGAGCGAAGCGATTAAATAATTGCATCGCATGGCGGCACATTTTTTACTTCCGCCACCTTCCGCCGGCAGAGGCGGCCTCGTTTCACTTCCGCCGACCCTCCGCCGCCTCCCGCCGAGGAAGAGATGACCACTCCTTCGACCCTCGAAGGCGAGGCCCTGTTTGGAACGCCCCGAATCTGCCTGTGCCTCGGGGCGTGGGTGCAGGGTG